ATACATGCCACACACAAATATTCTCATATTCAATAATCTTCTTTATCAACCACTACTCTAACACAAAGCAATAGGAAATAAAAAGTGGATGTAATCCTCTTAAAGGAACTTGCAAAGTAATATTCATGTATTATATAGTACTGTTCAGTCAAGGTTTCCAGGATATAGGAACCTATGTATCAAACAAGTACTATCTGAATTTACATATGACATATAAAGACTAACATCATTCACTGAAAGATCTGTTAGTGCCATTTAGTAGCTCCTGGCTTTCAGTCGTCAGCTGAGTCCTCCTGGTATCATTCTCACCTGGTATCTGTCAGAGTGATGAATATCATCTGAGGAATGAGGTGATGCTGTTGGAGAATCTCCTTCCCGCTTGATGGAGGCTGACAACAAAATCGACTGTAGGAAAAGAGGGGGAAAGGGACAGCGGTTAAGAATGCAGAGGGGAAATAGAGCAGGAGAAGTGATATATAGTAGCAACAATTAAGAAAGCCATGGTTAAGTCAACTATGGGTTAGCATGTCAGACAAACACAGCCTATCATTCTTGGGTTTCTCCTGTAATAGTTTGCATAAACTACTACTGAAAGAATTATAAGAATGGGCCATGCTTTTTCCTATTCTTCAAGTAAGTTTCCTTGTTTATATTAACTGCACAGGCTGTTTGTGTTCAAGGCAGAGGTTTTTATAGCATTTAACTCTTTAAAGTAGGAGCCCATATCTGAATTTAGATATCATCTAAAATCATGAGACAGAGATCCACCAGTGGGCAAGTTCCATGCTAAAAAAACTACATTTTTTCCATTGTTCGCAGTTTATTAGTTGTAGGAATACCAGCAGGAAGTTCAAATAGATAAAAGCAAAATAATATCTTTTTTCCCCCCTAACTTGAATGAAAATTCCTTAGAAAATGTACTCAAATGATATAAATACAACAATAAGTAGGCAGAATGAGAACTGCTACAAATTCTTCAGAAATGACAAATAATGGTACACAGTTATAGGATCTCTCATTAATATTCTGAAATATCCCAGGTTGCGAGGATGTTTCTCTTATTTTTATAGCAGGTTATGAAGGCAAAAGAGTTAGTAATTTAATGGTATTTCTGAAGGTTATCAGTGCCTTGCAGACTTCAGGGCAGGGGCATATAAATTCCTTCTACTACAGAGTTTTATGGGAAATGACAAGAATGCTTTGACTATAGTTAAAAGAGATATATTCAGTGAAAATAAATGCTATTGTTAAGAAGCTCTCAGGAATACTAACTAAATTTCACATGAATGGGTAAGCCATATGGCAAAATGAATGCAAGGTCACAAATTATTAAATATACTGTGATAATAATACCAGATTAATTTTATACACACACACGTGCGCATGCACACACACAGTGTACAACATTATATAACACTAATGAGTGATAAGGATTAATAAAATAAGAGGACAATTTTAATAAATTAAACCAAAATGTTAAACTGACTTAGGTTCTATATTCATTCTATAAGCAGAGAAAAATTGGGACCAATTTGTTGACATGTGTATTTAACAGAATGGAGTTTATAATATTTTATCTATTCTTCACTTGCCTACCATTTAATTGCCATTTTGAAGCTAATTAACGTGACAGAAAGGCAGTACTTCAATCTACTTTCAGGAAACATTTCCCGAATTTTTAGCATGGACAAATTTTCCACGTTGGTACCAGTACCAAACCACATGCTAGTACTATTTTCCTTTTTTATGATAATTACCACTACTGGAAATTTCACGGATGAAGAATTTAACAGCACCCATAATAACAGTACTTATGCCACAATCTTCCTATTTGCCCCTGCTTTTGTCAGGTTTTATGTGTCATGAAGTTAATCTTATAAGAAGTTAATCTTATAAGAAAGGATATAATGTGGAGTCCTTGGGGTTCTCTGAGCTTGGTTCTTTTCTTGCAAACGTTTCATTACCCGGCTAGGTAACATCTTCAGTGCTAAAATGGGATGGGGTTTGCTCTCTATTTATCTGCTGTGGCCTGCTTTGCCACAGGATATAATATTTTTAATAACTAAAAAAAAAGAAAACAAAATATTTAACTCTTTTGACTCCCTTCTTTGCACTTTTTGCTGTGCTGGAATAGACTCCCTTTCCTTCCCATTCATCAGATTGATTCTGTGAAAGCTCCTCCATAATGGTAATCACTTTTACCGAATCGTTTTTCATGACCTTGTATCGCTCACTACTGCCATTTTATTTCCCCCATTCCCACTAGGCTTCCCACTAGGACTGCATGGGGCTCTGGGCCCAGTAATTTGGTAATCTTTCCACAGTAGCCTTACCTGCAACTGACAGCACTGAGCTCCAACGTTCAGCTGAACAGGACATCTATCTTGGGGCAGATGCTGAGGCAGGGGAACCAGTGCTGAGTTCTTGGACCACTAGAGTTGTGCGTGCTAAATGACCTTCCTGATCCCCTTACATCCTGACCTCTGATGCAGTGGACGATATGACCCCTCATCAGAAAGGAGAGATCCAACTGGCATTTCAATCAGCTCTTTCTCTCTCTCTCTATGGGATAGTGGGGGTGGGAAATGCCATCCTGTCTTTTATTTCAGGTGGCAAAATGAGTTGCCTGCCCTTGGGATCACTTCTCTGATTGGTGGTCCCAGACAGCTGCTTTTGTATTTCTCCACAATGTCTAGGAATTATGGTGCTAGTAAATCTCTCGATACAAAATCTCTAGTAAATATGAACAAGGGAGTACTATTATACAAGGGCCCTACTATGGGCTTTCCCACAGAGATGAAGGTGGAGGTTGTGAAGAACTGAAATGCCTCTGGTCTGTTCCAGGAGGGGTCTTCTTATGTTCTTGCCTTGTGGGAAATATAAATGAAAACTATTGGATGCTTGGTAGATAG